AATGGTGCATAAAGGAGTCGATACGGAATTTGAGCTGATCAGAAACGACTTTAAAGCCATTGATTTTTCAGGAAACAGATTTCGTGGAAACATCCCTGAATCCATTGGTTTGTTGAAGGGATTACGTCTTCTCAACTTGTCAGGTAACGCATTCACAAGCAGTATTCCTGGATCATTGGCAAATTTGACTAACCTCGAGGCACTAGACCTATCTCGGAATCATTTGTCGGGTCAGATTCCTCGAGATCTTGGCAGCCTCTCTTTTCTCTCAACCATGAACTTCTCCCACAACAATCTCCAAGGTCCAATACCACAAGGCACACAATTTCAAAGACAAAACTGTTCTTCATTCATGGACAACCCAAAACTCAACGGTCTCGAAGATATCTGTGGAGAAACTCATCATGTCCCGAATCCTACACCACAAGAATCTGAGGATTCAATGTCGGAGCCAGAAGAAGAAGTGATTAGTTGGATAGCAGCGGCAATAGCCTATGTACCTGGTGTGTTTTGCGGGTTGGTGATTGGGCATATCTTTGCTTCACACAAACATGAGTGGTTCATGGAAAAGTTTGGTCGTAACAAGCCAAGAGCAACAGTCAGAAGTACTCGTTAATCCCATCTCTCACAGTTTCTCTAAGTGTTTTCAATAATGCGTTTGTGATAATGACATTTGTCAGATATGTTCTCCAAAAACTCGTTTGTGTTTGTGACTTTTTTGTAATAAACGTGTATTTGATATTACATACTTTAGCCTGAAAATGCATTCGGAAACTTCTTCCCATTCAAATCACAACTTTGTACCATGTTTAAATTACACTCCACAGTCGGGGGGGGGGATTATGTAATTATAAAAGTTATGCAGAATTGTTTAATATTTATAATAATATAGGGGTTGAGTTGCAATTTCGAGCTAGTAATACACATGTATCTGTAATCACTCGCTTCAATACAAGCTTCTCGTCTCGTCTGTTTCTCTTGCTATCGCCGGCGATGATTCCTCTTAGTACCCTTTCGTCGCCGTCTCTGAATCGGCTCGTTTTCTTCACTTCTCGTTACTCTCACTCTCCATTTCTCCCTTCGATCCACCGGAAATTACCGTACAACCATCTTCTCGGCGTAAGGTGTCATGCTAGTAGCAGCACCGGTTCTTCTTCCTCCTTCACCGCAAAGCCTTCCAAAGAGATTCGGAGAGCTCGAACCGAAGTAGTCGTTGACGAGAAGCTTACCGCGATCCGGAGGCTTTTCTCGGAGCCGAGTGTTGGAATCGATGCTTATATCATACCTTCACAAGATGCCCATCAGGTTTTGTTTTCTAAGCCTGTGCTTCACAAATTCTAAGAGTTTGCATCATTCAATGATTCTTCTAATTGATAAATTTTGTTCTGGTTCTAGAGCGAGTTCATTGCAGAGTGCTACGCGAGGAGGGCTTTTATATCTGGATTTACTGGAAGTGCTGGTACTGCTGTTGTCACCAAAGATAAAGCAGCTCTGTGGACAGATGGTCGCTATTTTCTTCAGGTTTTGATCACATTTCCGAACATTTTGATTGCCATCTTGTACATATATTTTGAAAGGAAACTTGTGGTTTCTTATCTACATTCTCTACAATTTCTGTGTCAAAGGCAGAGAAGCAATTAAACTCTAGTTGGATTCTCATGCGTGCTGGCAATCCGGGAGTCCCCACTGCAAGTGAATGGATAGCTGATGTTTTGGCTCCTGGTGGAAGAGTTGGTATTGATCCTGTAAGCTACTGTCAAACCTTCTAACTTGTGTCGTTAGTATTTCATCTGTTTTTTCAACCTAAAAAGTTTCAGTTCTGCATTTGGGAAATGTGTTTCTTACCCTTGCATCCTTAGTTTGTATGGACTTACATACAGCGTATGATAGAGTCTAAACCATTGGGTCATCATTATTCAACTTCTGTGTACAAGGCAAAATAGTATGGGTTTCTGTCATACTTGTCGAAAGCAGTCTGGTGGACTTGGGTTGTGTTTAGGCTGCTAGTAAAGATAAACTCTAGATCATAGTTTGTAATTTGTGTTTACGATACTTTGGAATTCATGAAGGGAGCAGTTCCTTTTTTCTGCCGATGCTGCTGAGGAATTGAAAGAGGCTATATCAAAGAAGAATCATGAGTTGGTTTACCTGTACAATGTAAATCTTGTGGATGAAATATGGAAGGACTCAAGGCCAAAGCCTCCAAGCAAACAAATAAGGATACATGACTTGAAGTATGCTGGTGTAGATGTGGCATCGAAATTGTCTGCTCTGAGAAATGAAATTATGGATGCCGGCGCATCTGCCATAGTCATATCCATGCTTGATGAGATTGCATGGGTGCTTAATCTGGTAATATTATAGATATCAACGTCTTACTTTTGTCTTTTTGATTTGTGTGCCAATACAGCCCAATGTGTTGACGTTGAATTGTATCTAATCTGATTGCAGAGAGGGAGTGATATTCCACATTCACCTGTAATGTACGCATATCTGGTCGTAGAGGTGGACCAAGCCACACTCTTTGTGGACAGTGCTAAAGTAACTGCGGAGGTGAAAGATCATCTGACAAATGCTGGGATTGAACTCAGACCTTACGATTCCGTACTTTCAGAAATAGATAGGTAAAAACTTGATTGTTTAGGTCTATAAGAAGTTTCAGAAAAAGAAATATATTTCCTGCTCTGTTGACCATTATACTCTACCTCACTCTGAGTTTTCTCAGTTTGGCAGCACGAGGAGCCCAGCTCTTGATGGATCCATCAACCCTCAACGTAGCTATCATTAGCACCTACAAATCTGCGTGTGATAGATATTCAAGAAAGTCTGAAAACCAAGACAAAGCTAAGGAAAAGTTAATTGTTGGCTCTAGCGGGTACTCTGCAAAACCCTCTGGGATTTTCAGGCCGTCTCCTATTTCATGGGCCAAGGCCATCAAAAACGATGCCGAGTTACAGGGGATGAAGAATTCTCACTTGAGGTAAGGAAATCCATTGCGACCTCATTGTCTCCGAATCTAACCGCCTTTAGATGACATAAGTTTCCTATCTAAAACAGTTGGATTTCTTTTCAGTAAATATCTTATACATATATTATTATGCAGAGATGCTGCTGCTCTAGCTCATTTCTGGGCTTGGTTGGAAGAGGAAGTGCACAAGAATGTGAACCTAACAGAGGTAGATGTGGCTGACAGGCTCCTTGAATTCCGTTCGATGCAAGATGGTTTTATGGATACAAGCTTCGATACTATAAGTGGTATGGTTATTTCCATCCTTGCTGCTGGAGCCTGATTCTCCATACCTATCATAATACAGATTCTATATACATTCAGTGAATGATATGAATTCCTTTCCTCAAATTACTCCTGCAGGTTCCGGTGCAAATGGTGCTATTATACATTATAAACCTGAACCAGAGAGCTGCAGTCGTGTAGACCCGCAAAAACTTTTCTTGCTCGATAGTGGAGCTCAATATGTCGATGGAACAACAGATATCACCAGAACAGTACACTTTAGTGAACCTTCTGTCCGAGAAAAAGAATGTTTCACCCGAGTTTTGCAGGTGGGGGATTGGGTTCTTTTTTCCCCATCTTTCTTGATGACCATTGATTATCTATCTTCAACAAACAAAGCTGTGTGGGATCGCTTATTGATTTTTTGGTTGTAGGGTCATATAGCTCTTGATCAAGCTGTGTTTCCAGAAGGTACTCCTGGTTTTGTATTGGATGGGTTTGCACGCTCTTCTCTATGGAAAATTGGACTTGATTACCGCCATGGTACTTGATTCTAGCCTTTGACCTTTCTTCAGAGAACAAATTTTTATTTTAAGTAACTCATGTTGATCTGATATTTTGTCTGCCTAACAGGTACAGGACACGGCGTAGGTGCTGCACTCAATGTGCATGAAGGTCCTCAAGGTATCAGCTTTCGGTATGGAAACATGACCCCTCTTCAGAATGGCATGATAGTGAGCAATGAACCTGGATATTACGAAGACCATGCTTTTGGAATCAGAATTGAGGTGCAGCTTGGCCACCAGTCCATGATAGTCGTTATAAGATATATATATAAGATCAATTGACAATTATATGACTCGCTTTTGCAGAATCTCCTTCATGTGAGAGATGCTGAAACACCAAACCGCTTTGGTGGTGCTACTTACCTTGGATTTGAGAAGCTTACATTCTTCCCTATTCAGGTATGGAATGACTTATCCATTGGTCAGAGGAGTCATCTGGTTCTATTCTAGCTTCTAACTTTTCTTTTCATTTTATCTCACACGCTTTTCGTTCACCAAACCATGCAGACAAAAATGGTTGATGTTTCTTTGCTCTCTCATGCTGAGATTGACTGGCTTAATAATTACCACGAGGAAGTCTGGGAAAAGGTTAGTCCACAAAACTACTTAGACTTTCACCATTATCTTCTCCAAAAGCCAAGATGAGTCTAAGCCAGAAGGCCTGTATGTGCATCGGATCAACACATGAATGAAACATGGCTTTGCTTTACTGCAATAGATCAAAGGTCTTAACAAATAACTGCATTTGTATGAACCGGGCTATGTTTCCTTGGCAGGTTTCACCATTGTTGGAAGGTTCTATTCAGCAATGGCTCTGGAACAACACACGTCCGTTAGCCAAACCATGATCGAACCCGCCCAGTGTTATCCATTACTTGGAAGCTTCACTTGACCACACTGCCACAAGCAAAGTCCATTTGATCATGTAAACACAAGAAAGAAATAGCTTTGCTCCTGCAAATTTAGAACCAGAAGCTGCTCCTTTATGTGATCGTGTACGTAAACTACAAACAGAAATGTAATCTTACAACAATAAAAATCCCAACTTTTACTAATCTTCTCGAATTAACATAAGTATCTCTCTTTCAAAACCCAAACCTTCTTGATCTAAATTGCGTAACCTTCAATTTCGTATACTTACGAGTTCATATACATATTTCACTGCATTTTTGTTTTCTCGTTGGCTTTGGTAATTTTGGTGAATGAATTCGAGATGGGTGATACAGAAACTGACCTCTCACATTCCTTCTTGCTTGTCTACCATTTTCTCCCCTTCGAAAACCCTAACCCGAGAGACCCCAAGCTACCAAGTCTCCACTTTTCTCCTCACACATGTCGATATAAGCCTTCTCTTATCCATCTGCGGAAGAGAAGGCTGGTTTCCTCATCTGGGTCCTTGTCTCCACGCTTCCATTGTCAAGAATCCTGAGTTTTTCGAGCCTGTAGATGCTGATATCCATCGAAACGCTCTCGTTGTTTGGAACTCTTTGCTCGCTCTGTATGTTAGACGTGGAAAGTTAGTTGATGCGCTCAAGCTGTTCGACGAAATGCCTATGATAGATAGTATTTCGCAGAATACATTGTTTAGTGGGTTTCTGAAGAACCGAGAGATCGAGTCTGGTTTTATATTGCTTAAACGAATGGTTAGGTCGGGTGGGTTTGATCAAGCAACCTTGACGATTGTTTTATCTGTGTGTGATATACCAGAACTCTGTTTGGTGACCAAGATGATTCACGGTTTAGCAATTTTAAGCGGTTATGACAAGGAAATTTCTGTGGGTAATGCATTGATCACATCCTACTTCCACTGTCGATGTTCGGTTTCTGGGAGACGGGTTTTTGATGAGGTGGTGCAAAGAAATGTCATCACTTGGACGGCTGTGATTTCCGGTCTTATACAGAATGAGTTGCATGAAGATGGTCTAAGATTGTTTAGTTTGATGCGTGGAGGATTGGTCCATCCAAACTCTGTAACATATCTGAGTGCTCTAGCTGCTTGTTCAGGCTCACAGAGGATAATGGAAGGGCAACAGATTCATGCTCTTTTGTGGAAATTTGGGTTTGAATCAGAATTGTGCATTGAGAGTGCGCTAATGGATATGTACTCTAAATGTGGAAGCATTGAAGATGCGTGGAAGATTTTTGAGTCCACAGAAGAAATTGACGAAGTTTCAATGACTGTGATATTAGTTGGTTTAGCACAGAATGGGTCAGAGGAAGAAGCTATACATTTCTTCATTAGAATGCTTCAAGCTGGTGTAGAGATTGATGCAAGTGTAGTCTCAGCTGTTCTTGGAGTTTCGTTTGTCGATAATTCTTTGGGTTTAGGCAAGCAACTGCATTCTTTGGTTGTCAAACGAAGATTCTCCGGTAACACCTTTGTTAACAATGGACTCATTAACATGTACTCAAAATGCGGAGATCTGACTGATTCACTCAGTGTCTTTAGACGAATGTCAAAAAGGAACTATGTTTCATGGAACTCAATGGTTGCAGCTTTTGCCCGCCATGGTGATGTGTTAGCTGCCTTGAAACTATACGAAGAAATGATGACGCAAGACGTGAAACCCACAGATGTTACCTTTTTGTCACTACTCCATGCTTGTAGCCACGTAGGGTTGATCGACAAAGGCAGAGAACTCTTAAACATGATGCGAGATGTCCATGGAATTGAACCTAGGACACAACATTATGCATGTATCGTTGACATGTTGGGTCGAGCTGGTCTTCTAAAAGAAGCAAAGAGCTTTATAGACTCATTGCCTTTGAAACCTGACTGTCTGATTTGGCAGGCATTGCTGGGTGCTTGTAGTTTCCATGGTGACACGGAAATTGGGAAGTATGCAGCTGAACAGTTGTTTCAGACTGCACCTGATAGCTCAGCAGCTCATGTTCTCATGGCCAACATTTACTCATCCAGAGGACAATGGAAGGAGAGGGCGAAGACGATCAAGAGAATGAAAGCAATGGGAGTGACTAAAGAAACAGGCATAAGTTGGATTGAAATCGAGAATAAAATACACAGCTTTGTTGTTGAGGACAAACTGCATCCACAAGCAGAGGCTATATATGATGCTCTGTCTGGATTGTATCCTGTTGTGGTAGATGAAGGTTACAGACCTGAGAAGAAAATTGTTCTCAATTATACAGGGGAAGACCAAAAGGGAGTAGCTGTCTCAGTTCCTTAACTATTCCCCTCCACATGAATATACATAAATCAAGAATGAATTCTGAAAATCCATGGGGGCTCTAGAATTGAAGACCCTCTAGCTGAAACAGAGGCTTTATTGTCTTGTCTCTTTGTCTCTATGGTCCCGTGTAATATGTGGACATTTGTCTGGTCATTAGTTAACGCCTCAAAAGGAAAGAAACTTTCAGGAAGAGAGAGGGGAAGAGATACAATGGAATGTTTTCGTGTCTCTGCTTCGATGCCTAAAATCTCTATCTTCTCCAGTCCAAGAAACTCAACTAGTCGGCAATTCATCCTTAGTTGCAGAGAGAGAAGCAGAGAGGATCCACTCACCAGTTCTTCACCGTACTCAATACTCGGCGTAGAGCCAAGCTGTTCATCTTCCGAGCTTAAGGCAGCTTTCCGGGCCAAAGTATGAATCCAAGAACTAAAAATTTGTACTTTTCCTTCTGCAAAGTAAATCCCTTTAGACTGTATTCGTGAATTGGTTCTGAGTTGTTTCTTCACTCGGCTAAATTTGTCTTTTTTCCCCTGCCCATTCATATGTCTCGGTTTTGTTGATTACTTTGTGTGCTTTGTTAAGGTGAAACAATATCATCCTGATGTAAACAGAGAGGGAAGCAACTCGGATATTAGGATCCGTCGCATAATCCAGGCTTATGAGGTAAGAAAACTTGTTTTACATTTGTGAAGAAGATTTGGTCATAACTTACAGAATCTCACTAATACTTTTCATTTTGGCAGGTGTTAACAAACTATAGCCGATCAGAGATAATTGAAGGGTATCTTTCAGAAAATTCTCTTAAGACAAAATAGAAATGGTTTTGGAATGCCACCAAGATCAACCAATTAATGTTTTTTTTTTTCTGTAAATCACATTGGCAGAGAATTGTTGGACCCTTTTGACCATCCAGAGTGTGAGGCACTTGATGTCTTTGTGAATGAGGTCCTCTGTGTTGGAAAAAGTACAAAATCTTTCTTCCTCTTCCTTGGATTTTGCTCTTTTAGATGCTCTCTTTCTTCTTGAACATCTTTTCGAGAGAAGTTTAGAACAGTTTTGTTTGATATGTAGACTTGTTTCTTCCATTGCAGGATGTCCGTACCCATGTTTTAAAACAGCTTCTCATGTCTTCTCATGTGCTTCAACTGGAACAGCTCGAGCAATGTCTCAAGGTCTCGATCGTTTACTTCCTCCATATCATCCTTCTACATAGCTCCGTTTCTTCTAATAATATGTCTGTTTTGTATATATGACCAGGGCGTGGTGAAGATTACCGTGTACAAACTGCAGTTAATCAGTGCCCGAGGAATTGCATACATTACGTCACACCTTCACAGAGAATCATTCTAGAAGAGTTACTAGACAGGTATCTGCTTCTCTCTACCCTTCTTGAGATATTCCCTATACTTGTGAATCCTCACTCACTAGTCGCATATTGTTCAAATTCCAGTGTTCTTGACAAACCTTATGATTGTTCCGCGGAGGCAGAGCTGCTCTATGTTCTTATAGTCAAAGCTCAGTTTGAGAACAACCGGTACCAGAAACCAAAGAAGAAGCAACCTGAATCTTCAGGAAAACATGTAGACTGGTTCTGAAGTTGAAGTTCCCGCCTATTTTCTAATAACTGCAGCTGAGGAACTAAGAGCTCCACCTACAAGTTAACTGCAAAGCCAAATTATATTCTCTTTTTCAGCAAAAAGGAATTCATGACCTGAATGGCTGAATCTGTAACAACCAACTGATATATGAAAACAGAAGCGTTCAATGTACATGACGAGTCTGACCAACACTCTCACTGAACGGCTGAAAGATCAACGTTAAGACCCGAACCATCACATCCTTCTTCCTCAAACCTCAACAATCCATACCGAAATGGCTCGAGAAAGGCCAGATACTCCAACCTCGCCTCTCTAATGGTGGAATTCAGATATCCTTCCAAGAGACTCTATATTCACTATTTATGTGAAAATTGTTCACTCTGTATAAAATGTATAATCTTCAAAAAAGCCTTAATAACATTATACTCTCTGGATTGAAGCTTGTTTTGAGCAAGTTTGAGGATTGGAGAATGGTTTTTGAAAGTCGATTTGCAAACAGAGGTGTCTTCTTGATTGCGCAGAGTGTGACTTGCCAAAATCGATGGCAATCTTACATAGCTCAGGGGTCTCCTTCATGGCTGGCCGAGGTCTTTGAGGATGAAAGGGGATAATCTGTTTGCTTACTTTCGACTTTGATCTTTTGTGTAATGTGTTTTGTTCCCTGTTTGTAACATCAAACTCTTTGCATGATATAATATTTTGAGATGACCAAAAAAAAAAACATTATACTTTGGGGCCTTTTTGGTTTTCAAATGATGAAACCCAAATTAGAACCAAAAATAGGAATATGATATTGAGATGGTATTTGGTATTTACATTTTCAAACTCAATTAAGACTAATTAAACACTCTATAACGGCTGATTATGTAGCCCCACCCCCACATGCCACTAAATTCCCCTCAAATTTGGTTTGAAGATTAAAAGTAGAATTTGGTACACACAAAATGTAAAAGGTAGCCGTTATGTGTAAATAGACCGTTGGGACACA